ATTTCACTTCATGCAGCTCTCCTAATATATTTAAATCTGTTTTTTCATTTCATGCTTTTCGGGGCCCCCATGAAAACACGCTGCCCCCCTCCTGGCCCCCTGGTACATTTGGTCTAGATCCGCCACTGTTCCTCCCCTTCACTAGACGTGGATATACTTTAGTCTATTCTGCTGTAAAATGAGTCCTATATTTTGGTTTGACCCTCTGCCGTTTCCCAGGATGCACCGCTTTGAGTGGTAACTAGGTGACAGCCAGAGAGGAACCAGAGAAACTGATCGGACTGATCCGATCAGCGCTCTGATCAACCAGTCGCCTGGAACGCTGAACAGAGCATCGCTTTGGACAGATACGCTGATTCTCAGGCATCCAAGGCATACGTTAATACAGGGGCGGATTTAGGATATTTGAGGCCCTAGGCAAAAACAGGCAGGGGGGCCCTCTGAAATGAGAAGACAACACATAAAAGAGACCCTTTCTACAGATACAGAAATTTTAATCTAACAGACACACATTATTTGTTCTTGGGTTTGTGTGAGACACACTTAATATAACAAGCATTCTGATGGCATTTTAGCAAAAGGATTTTTATCAAAAACATAATCAATGTGCACGAAAAGGAAGAGTTGTATTAACTATACATGTAAACAGAGTAAGCAAGGCAACTGCTTAGTATTGCCTAATGGTAAATCCCCTTCTGCATTAATGATTATGACTAGGGATGCATGATATAATCGGCCCCCTATCGGTATCGGCCTTAAATCTGAATATCGGACATCGGCCACCCCCATTAAACATAAAGACCGCAGGTTTTTATGTTTAATGTCCGTCTTTCTCGCCGTCGTTCTGTCTCATACCACTCGCGGAAGAAGTCTGCTTCCGGAGGACCTCCGCATTCCCCCGCGTGCCGCTACCGTACTTGTGTGTTCAAGCAAATGTGACGTCAACATGGTGGATGGTAATCCATAGATGTAGGTATTACGCTAATGGCCGTTAGCTGTAAAAGTGCATAGATAAGCCGCATTGTTATATAAGACGCAAGGTCGAAGAATGGGGGAAAAAGTCGCGGCTTATAGTCCGAAAATTACTAGGGATGCACGATATAATCGGCCCCCTATCGGTATCGGCCTTAAAACTGAATATCGGACATCGGCCCCCCCACCGATATTTAACCCGATATTTGATCAGCTTCTGAGTTTCTAAAGTCTAAAAAAAAAAAAAAAAAAAAAATACTACTTCTTCTTCTTCCTCGGAAACTTCTTTTTTACAGA